TAAAGAAGCATTGTTAAAAGCAGTAGAAAAAAGCTTAAAGGACGGACAAATACCGGACAGTTGGCGACAAAGTAGAATGAACTTAATCTATAAAGGCAAGGGAGAAAAGGACAAGATTCGCTCGTATAGACCACTAACCATTACATCGGTACTATACAGGATGGCGATGCAAGCAGTAAAAATGAAAATAGAAACATGGGCCGAACATAACGATATTTTGGGAGAACTTCAGAACGGATTTCGAGTCGACAGGCGGTTAGACGATAACCTGTTTGTTCTCACTCAGTGTATAGAAATATCCAAAATAGAGAATAGGCCCTTGTACGTGGCTTTTCTAGACACCACTGGGGCATACGACAACGTTAATCAGGAAATTTTGTGGGATATATTGAAAGGAATGGGCATGGGCGACGACTGTATACAGCTTTTGAGGGAGATATACCGAGAAAATACAGTTTGCATAGAGTGGGAAGGAATGCGTAGCAAAGAGAACGTTGAGGTTAGCAGGGGTCTGAGACAGGGATGTCCTTTGTCCCCGCTGTTATTCATGCTGTACATGGTGAGTATGGAAAAAGCGCTAGAAGGTAGCAACATTGGTTTTAATCTGTCACACAAACAGGGCGGCATGATGATTGAGCAGAAGCTTCCAGGTTTATTTTATGCGGACGATATTGTCTTATTTGCGGACAGTCGAGATGATATACAGCAGCTGGCGAATATATGCGGAAGGGAAGGTGAAGCTCTTGGACTAGGATTCAGTGTAACGAAGTGTGGATTGATGGTATTCAATGATCCCTGTGATCAGACGGTGTCCATACAAGGCCAAGAAATACCGAGGGTAAGTGAATACAAGTACCTTGGAGTATGGGTAAATGAGAGTGATAGATACATGGAGGTACAGGAAAAAGCCTCGGCAGCAAAAGGAAAGAGGAATGCGGCAATAATGAAGCACAGAGCGTTGTGGGGATACAATAGGTATGAGGTGCTTCGAGGTCTGTGGAAGGGTGTAATGGTTCCAGGGCTTACTTTTGGGAACTCAGTGGTGTGCATGAGGGCAGAGGTGCAAGCGGGAATGGATGTAAATCAAAGGACTGTGGGACGCCTCGCGTTGGGTGCTCACGGGAAGACGACAAACGAGGCTGTAAAGGGCGATATGGGGTGGACAGGTTTTGAGGCGAGGGAAGCGCAGAGCAAAATAAGGTTCGAAGAAAGGCTAAGAAATATGAAGGAGAGTAGATGGGCAGAGAAGGTGTTCCGTTATTTGTATAGGAAGAGCGTGGACACACAGTGGAGAAAAAGAACTAGAAGACTCACTAGTAAGTATACGGCTGGTATTGTAAGCCGTATGTCAACAAAGAGCGTTAAGGGAAAAGTCAGGGAGGCGGAGAGGATTTACTGGATGGCAGCTATGGAGAAAAAACCGGCTTTGAGTAACTACCGAAAGGGCAAAAATGAAATAAGGAGGGAGGCATTTTGCGATAATTCAAGGGGAAGCGCTTTACTGTTTGAAGCGAGATCGGGTTGCCTTAGAACGCGTAGTTATAAAGCAAGATTCAGTAAAGAAGAAGAACAATGCACATGCTGCGGGAAAGATAAGGAAACGGCGGAGCATGTTCTGATTGAATGTGGAGATATCCACCCAGGTGTACGTTTGGGCACGAGCCTACAGGAAGCCTTGGGTTTTAGGGACAACAATGGAAAGCTGAACACACCCGCGATTGAAATAAGTAAGAGACGGTTAGAGTATTGGTGGCAGAAAATTAGAGAGAAAGGACAAAAATAAATATTGGAAAAATAAAATATGGACAGTGTGCCGTAAATGGCAGAGAACTTAAGCTGAAAATTTACCTTTTTTCCATTAAGATAGAATTTATCGAAGTAGAGGCATTAGGCCAACATAAAAAGAAAAAAAGGTGGTTTTTTTTTTTGTCGAGCCTGGTGGCATACTTGTCACCACCCCGTTATAAAGGGGACGCTCATAGCATCCATCCATATGATGAAAAGATGCGAGATGGTGGTACTTGGAGCGTTGAATAGATGGACGAATGGACACACAGACATATGCATGGATGGACGCATGAATGAACGCCGGGGCGGATGCATGGACGAAGGCATGGACGGACGCACGAACAGACGCACGCACGGATGGGCAGATGGACGCATGGACGGTCACAGAGATGGACGCATGGACGGAAGCAAGAACGAATGGATGGACAAAAGCTTCGCCCCACTCTCCCTCATTCACTCCGTGGATATGCTGCCAAATTTTTTTCTCTTTCTCAAAAGTTTCTACCGCGTTTTTAATCTTCTCCTCACTGGCTTTTTGCGAGATCAGCCTCACAATCGGTTTCCTGCGCATTCCTTCCACTATTACAATGTCTAGATGCTTACTCACAGCCATAAGTTTCTCTATTAGCATTGCCTTCCACTACATGATTGCCGTTGTACTTTGGTCCGGCATCTCACACACAATTGGGTGATCCCTATAACTCACAAATAGGTGATCCCCTAACACACACACGCACAGCTTCTAATCAACTCACACTCACAAAATGAAGCCGGGAAAGTCAAAACAAATATCAAGCACTCACGACAGCACAGCACCATGTCGTGAAATCCATCTCACCGCTGCGAACCAGTTGTTAAGGTCGAAGGAAGTTGCTGATGGCATCCCACCACTGCCACCAGTTGTTAAGGTAAGGAAGGTCTCGATGGCATGGACAGCGGGTTCTCTTTAAGGTAGCTGACTTCACTAGTCGACATGAAGACAGCATCTGCTCAAAGCACACTTGGAGTATTTGACGCCCAGTGCTTGAATCTCTCGACTAGGAAGATGGCTACTCGCACTTCATCATTTCGTGAAGTCAAGGCTGCATCCGTCATTCAATGAAACGCCAGAGGACTAAAATCACGTTTTTCATATTTTCGTCAGTTTGTGTTTACCAACGTGTTTCCACTCATCGTCATTTGTGAACCCAATTTATCGAAACTAATAAGACTTTCAGGGTACGAAGCTGTCATGTCTTCAACAAATGGTGCGTGGAGCAAAATCATTGTCTGTGTTCATCGTGAACTGACGTATGTTGTCCAACAAATAGCGCCTCACGATGACAATCAGTACATCTGCATCACTGCGAAAAAGAACAAAGTCATGTTTTCTCTCATAGACGTTTATATATCGCAATCGAATAATCTCGATTCCAGGAGATCAGCGGATATTTTAAGAGTGTGTCCTGTGCCATGGGTCATCATAGGTGATTTCAATGCGCACCATCAGGCATGGGGAAGTACGCGGACAAATGCAAGAGGACACAAGTTAGCAAACATTGCCTACAAGTACAACTCTCCTGAACGACGGTAGCCTCACTTTTCTTCGAGGGGTGATATACGGCTGTCTCGACCTTGCTTTTGTCTTCAACTCCCTCGCGAAATACGTTAAGTGGTTTCCAGATGTTGAGACAAGAGGAAGTGATCACATTACAATCTACCGTAACATCAAAGGCTTGTCTAGTTGTGGTCCACGTACGACCGATCGAGCAGTCTAATGAACCAACGTCAAATTTGACATGAAAGTTGCTTGCTGCGATGGCCTGGGATCTCGGTTGGAGCAAAGAATTCAGAGCACAATGCAAAACGCCACTCACACGGTGACAATATCTGCCACATGAAAGCGTTGGTATTGGCGTACGAAATCAATTCGCGATCTAAGCGCAGCCACGAGGATGCAAAAGAAGATTCAGCATCGCATGGATAGATTAGCGTCAGAACGATGGACAAAGTTTTGCCAGTCACTAGACCCTCGCAAGCTACTCTCACACATTTGAAAAACGGTGCAAGGTCTGCGTCTTCTTACGGAACAGCGTTTCCCATTCAAAGCGCTTCCGCTATTTCAGGGGAGGAAAGACATTGATGTCGCAGAAGATTTTTGTACGTAGATCGCCAACCAAGCCACTCGTCCAGATTATTCAGTGAGAGGTGACGTCCCCCGTTCCCGTGACCATCAAATGGACCTCCCTTTTACAATGGAGGAGCTCGAGGTGGCACTAGCTCTCTGGAGGCGTTCAACTTCTCTAAGTTCAGATGGTATTCCGTACCGATCCTTGTGCAACCTTGGGGAAGGTGCAACGAGAGAACTGTTGAGCCTTTACAACATCTTGTGGCAGGATGGCAATGTTCCTGACGATTGGAAAGTAAGCCGCTTGTTACCCATCTTGAAACAAGGCAAATCCCCACTCTAACTCGCCTCATACCACCCAACAGCAATGGCCAGCTGCGTAGGGAAATTGATGGAACCGATGGTACTAGGCCACCTGGATGTGGTGTCTTGAATACTACAAGACCTATCCGAATTCTATGGCTGGTGACCGACGCGATTGCTCTTCCATTGACAATGTCGTTGATCTAGTTTCGTACGTTCAGCACAAAAGATCTCGTAAGCGACTATCTACAGCTTTGTTTCTAGATTTGAAAGGCGCGTATGAAAATGTACTACATGAAGCCATTTTGGCTGCTCTTGCGGTGGTTGGCCTTGGTGGTCAAGTCTTCCATTGAATTTCGAGTTACCTGCCTGTAAGATCATTCTTTGTGTTAACAGAAGATGGTCCCTCAGGGGTGTTCCCCTAGGCGGAGTTCTTAGCGCGACGCTATTCAATCTATTCGCTATTCAAAAACGCTGTCGCTCGTGCTTATGCTCTCGTCAGAGCCGTATGTTAACGGCTCATATATTCTACTGTGTGATGTGCAGTCTATGAGAAGAGTGTTCATGAAAACCATTTTTCTCCGTGTGCAACCATTCTCTCGCACCTGCATTTTGTAGAGTTACTCGACATTGGGTTCAAAAGAGGTTGTAACCCTCCTTACTTCGTTTAATACTATGTTATGTTGCGATTGCATTGATACTTTCGCCATTGCAGTGCAAACGAGTATTTGACATGGTAGCAAAAGTTTGCTGCATTTCTCTACAACCACTTTGATAAACTTCGGGACGGCAACGAATGCAGGTACGGCCAGTACTCCCAGCTCTACCCGAACCGGCGTGGTGTGCGAGTTCCTAACACTTACTGCCACCGGGCGTTCCAGGACTGCGCCCCGGGCCGTTGTTTCGTGCAGTCTCCAGGGTACCCGGGTATCTACCCTCGCAATCTACTCTGCAAGTACCACATCAATGTGCGGCGGAACCTCGTGGGCCTTGACCTAGCTGCCTTCGACGTTGATGGGTTGCGCTGTGACAACCTCCTCATGTGCTTTCCGAGGCCGGTCACAAGAAACCTGGAGCTGTGCCCTTTCGACTATGTCAAGGTTTGCGAACTCATAAATATTGATAAATAAAATCAAGCTAGTGTGAACGCGTACACTTGGGAAAGTGTGTTGGTCCTGTGTAAGCTAGTGAGACTTTGCCGAAAAATCCAGCGTATTATGGAGCCACAACCATGCCCGTGTAGTAACGAGGGGGAAGGGGGCAGGTGGATGCGGCGACCATTGTCGCGTATGAAATTTTTATTGCATGATACGTGCGCAGAAATTCGACAAACACAAGAAAAACAAAATAGACAGGAAATTAGCAGATCCCACGTACAGTGCGAAGCGATAATATGCGAAGCATGAATAAGAAATGCTGATATATCCCTTTAAACTCACACAACTTATTCAAGTTATTATTATTATTATGTTATTCAAGACTGCAATTTCTCAGCAATGCTTGTAACTATACGCAGTTTCCATTATCTATCTTTGTCTTGTATGTGCTTGAATTCCTATACATTTTTAGTTGACTTATGTTGCCTTCCTGATTTGCGCATCTGACACTTGTTTCTTTATTTTGTCTTTTTATTGTGTGTTATATATGTTGTACCCACCCCCTCTGTAATGCCCTATGGGCCCTGAGGGTAATCTAATAAATAAATAAATAAATAAATAAATAAACTTCACCATTTGGAAGTAACTGATGTCGTACATGACTTCCGTGTCGTGGTTATCATGTTTGGATGTGACGTTTACTTTTGTCATTCCTTCACGTCACGTGATACCAAATGTAGTATAAGTGGAGCTAGCGAAACGGCCGCGAGCATGCTATGAGCGTGGTATTTTGTCATGTTGTTACTTGACACGCGTGTCAGGATTATCATGTTTGCAGCAGTCATATATTTTGTCATTCACTGACGTCACGTAACACCAAATTCGGTATATTTAGAGCTAGTGAAACGGCCTTGGGCACATCAAAAAGGGCCCAATATACTCCAATGTGCCGTCGACGCGCACGCACGCTGGGCACAGTGACGCTACGTTAGCAAAACGCGAGCGCTCTACAGTCTGACGCCAGGCGCGACTGGCGTTTCTCGGTGTGGTCCGACGATTTCGCGTTGATGCCAAAGAGTAACATTACTCTATGCTGATGCGTTACCCGGACAACATCGCGTCTCCTTCTTTTCGTGATGCAGGGACGCCAAACACGCTGAAACATGCATGCGTCAAAGCAATGCAGCGCGTCACGTCGAAATATATTGCCGCGTTGACTGTGGCACGTAGTCATGTTCTCACATGATACGCATCTCATTATTATCATGTTTGCACCAGTCGCATAACTCCGTCATCTATTGGCGTTACGTAATACTGAATTTGGCCTATGTACGTCAAGCTAGCAAAACGGCCGCGAGCGCTTCTTGAGTTTGGCATGTAGTTATGTTGTTACGTGACACGCATCTCGTGATTATCATGTTTGGACGTGTCATCCTCTATGTTGTCAGTTCGCATCAAAAGTAATGCCGAGCTTGGTACATGTGAAGCTAGTGAAACGGCCACCAGGGCATAATGAGCGTGGCATGTAGTCATGTTGTTACATGACGCACATATGATTTTCATGTTTAGGTCGGTCGCTTGTGTTCACCATGTCACACCATACCAGTTTCGCAACATGCCTTGTGAAAGAAACCACCGCATGAGCTGCAGGACCATGAAGTGTAAATCGTGACATTCATGACATACATGTCATAGTTTTCATGTTATGACTATTCAAATATGTTATTCATACAGTCATGTCATGCCATACCGAGTTTGGTATCGACACCATTACCGAAACGACCAGGCTAGCTAAATGTCGTAGGTATATAGATAGATAGATAGATAGATAGATAGATAGATAGATAGATAGATAGATAGATAGATAGATAGATAGATAGATAGATAGATAGATAGACAGATAGATAGATAGATAGATAGATAGATAGATAGATAGATAGATAGATAGATAGATAGATAGATAGATAGATAGATAGATAGATAGATAGATAAATAGATAGATAGATAGATAGATAGATAGATAGATAGATAGATAGATAGATAGATAGATAGATAGATAGATAGATAGATAGATAGATAGATAGATAGATAGATAGATAGATAGATAGATAGATAGATACGCCTAAAGTCACCGAAGTTCGCTAAGAAATGCTTCGCATTTTTTAACGTAATACGGCATCAGTTTTCGGTGACGCGTCTCGAGATACGGCTCAACTCAGGCCTTCAAACTATTTTTAAAACGATAGTCTTTCTTAGGGTCCTTCGACGCAAAAATGTTGGTCTGTCCGTCTGTCTGTTTGTCCACCCTTAACGGTACCGGGCACCTTAAACGGAACCAGCGGATACCCCAAACGGCCGATCCCATCCGCAGCACCCACCAATGTTGCTCAACGTTCAGCGTTTATACTTGGGCGATTGTCAATTAAAAATCAATTATCGCGCATAACTGAGGCATCATAACACGTATATATTCTGTATGTGCGTCTTTTACTAGAACAGGCATACACAAGTTATTCTAAGGACCATAGCGTTTATAACGCGGCGCTGACCATGCAACACTTGCACGAAAAGGGAACTGTTTCCAAAGCTTTGCTAAGACGACACGGCGGTGGCATGTACACGGTGACACGGTGGTGGTGGTGGCACGGCTCTGAGACAGGCGCCGCACGCCTGTCTCAGAGCCGCGCATTTAGTTTCTGAAGATAACTGCCAGATAGCACTCATGTCTCACGTGTCACGTGACTTTGTGCGCTCGTTCGCCTCCACTGCTCGCTCGAGGCACTATAACGCAGTGCCTCCAAAATACCATTCACGCATTTTCTTGCACACAAAACAAAAATAAACGTTTTGTTCAAGTTCTCCAGACGCAAGACTATTGTCTTTCGACGACATTTGATACGCGACCACTTATAAGCGTGCAATGGACAAGGTCACATCTACACGCACGCTGCCCTTCATTTCTCCCTCTCTTCTCCTTTGATCCCCTCACCCCTTCCTCCAGTGCAGGGTAGCAAACCGGACGTGCGTCTGGTTGACCTCCTTGCTTTTCATTTCTTCCCTTCCTCCTCCTCCTTGCTGATTGGCATGCGGATATGGGGCCAATTCTTTTTCTCAAAGAATTATTGCCATCTGTAACAAAATTCGGCACCCCGCAAAAAGTTAGTATGTAAGTAGTCTAGCTAGAGGTACTGCTGCCTGCCAAATATCGCCTTCGAAATACAAGCGCTTACCTAAGAAAAAAAAAAGAAAACTGGCACATCCCACGTAAAGTGGGAATCGATGATATGCGAAACACGAATGAGGAAGGTTGATATGTCACTTTCAAATCACTACAACGTTACAAGGTGGAGGTAAATTATGCCGCATACGACTTCCATTTCATGACTATCATTTTTGGATGTGTAGTATACCTTCATCGTGTTTCACGTCACGTGATGCCATGTTTTGTACATGTGGGACTAGCGAAATCGCCGCGAGTGCTTCATGAGCGTGGTATGTTGTCATGTAGTTACATGACATGCGTCTCATGATTATCATGTTTTCACCAGTCACATACCGTCGTCATCAATTCACGTACCGTAATACCAACTTGTATATGTGACGCTAGCGAAATGACCGAGAGCACATCATGAGCGTGGCACGTAGTCATGTTGTTACATGATACACATGCCATAATTTTCACGTTCCGGTCTGTCACTTGTGTCGCCAAGAGAGAGAGAGAGAATTTATTAGAAGGCAGAGAAGTCGGCCTGAGCTAGTTCGCTCTAGCCTGCGACTCTACACAGGGGATAAGGGACGAAGGAAGGCCATTTTGTGGAATAAACACAAAATGGCCATCTTCCTGCGCAATGCCAGGGATGCTAAGGACAACAAAGTCCTAATGTTGGTAACACTGACATAGCGATCATCCATTATTATCTCTTAAGGGTACCTAATGGGGCATTGCATCATCGTCACCATCATCATCATCATCACCATCATCAGCCTATCTACGTCCACTGCAGGACAAAGGCTTCCTTCATGTTCCACCACTCATCTTGGTCCTCTGCTTGCTGCTGCCTTTATATACCCGCAAACTTCTTAGTCTCATCTGCCCACCTAACTTTCTGTCTTCCTCTTACCCACTTGTCTTCTCTGGGAATCCGCGTAGTTACCCATAGTGACCAGCGGTCATTTTTTCCACGGGCTATATGCCAGGCCCATGTTCATTTCTTCTTGATTTCAACTGTGACATCCTCAACCCCCGTTTGTTCGCTAATCCACTCTGCTCTCTTCTTGTCTCTTCAAGTTACACCGACCATTTTTCTTTCCATTGCTCGCTGCGTCGTCCTCAATTGAAGATGAACTCCCTTCGTAAGTCTCCGGGTCTCTGCTTCATAGCTAAGTACCGGCAATATGCAGCTGACATATGCCTTCCCCTTGAGGAATAGTGGCAATCTACCTGTCATAATGTGAGAGTGCTTGTCAAATGTGCTTCATCTCATTTTTATTTTTCTAGTTACTTCAATCTCGTGGAACGACTCCACGGTTATTACCTGCCCTAAGTAGACATAAGCTTTTCCAACTTCAAGTGCACTATTACCTATCTCGAAGCGCTGTTCTCTTTCCAGGTTTTTGCCCGTTACTTTCTTTTTCTGCAGATTAATTTTAAGACCTACCTTTCCGCTCTCCTTGTCTAACTTCGTAATCATGAGTTGCAATTCGTCCCCTGAGTTACTCAGCAATACAATGTCATCAGCGAAACGCAGGTTATTAAGGTACTCTCTACTAACTCTTATACCTAAATCTTCCCATTCTAGGCCTCTGAAAACATCCTGTAAGCACATGGTAAATAGTATTTCGGAAGATTGTATCTTCTGCCTTACACCCTTCTCGATTAGTATTCTGTTGCTTTCTTTATGAAGCACTATGGTAGCAGTTGATCCCCTGTAGATTTATTCCAGGGTGATTTTATATGCTTCGGTGACGCCCTGATTCCGCAATACATGCATGACTGCTGATAT